ACAATACAGCTTTACTATTGGGTCTCCGTTTTCTCTCTAACCTATGATCCCTCAGGCCAAAAATAGTCATTGCATATTCCTCTGGGAGCAGCTGAACATCGCTCTAAATCTTGTTGACTTGTCACTGACATGTCTTAAAATATTGTCTTTTTTGAACTGTTTGGAAAGACATTACAGATGACCAAACTCACCTAAGTCGTACATGAAAAAGACCTTGTTTGCTTTACACCAACAGACAGCCGCGGTGGTTAGCCAACACCTCATGAGTTACGGTCTAAGCTAGCAGCGTGTACTAGCAGTCCGTCATATGATTTACCACGGTTTGAAGTTTGAACATGCGTGTATACCGTGTCACTGAGACAGAGTCCGTAAAATTCCCCCTGTCGGCCAATTGGCGTCTCCGTGTGAAAAATGCCTGGACATGGACAATATTGACAGTTGTGTGCATGTGCATTCACGCCCACTCTCCAAGACATAGTTGTCATTTTTGGGTCCGCAGTTTGAAGGGGTTTCTCGTTTTTGTTTTGTGTAGGTTCATACAGGCGAATAATAAAATGAGATTCTTCTGTATGACAAAAGTGTAAAGCACTTTACATTCCACTGACGTTTACACAGCACATATATTTGTATACAGTGGAAGGCGCACAGTTGTATGCTGTGTGCTAGAATGCGATTTAAATGGGGAAAATTACAAAATTAGTATCAGTATTTATGTCAAAATGAGCCTTAAATAATACCGATCCCAGACCAAAGCGTAGCATGTAAGTAAGTAAGTAAGTAAGCTTTATTTATATACCGCCTTTCACAGACCAGAGTCACAAAGCGGTTTACAATTGTTATTATTTTTGGGCACTTGTCCTCTCACTCCACACAGAGATGGGAGCGGGGTCGCCAGTACAGGAGGCGCATGCTAGACCTATTGTACATATTTTTAGTGGTAGGGGAAACCAGAGTACCCGGAGGAAACCTACGCAGACACGGGGAGAACATGCAAACTCCACTCAGAAAGACCCTGGTCCGGCCGGGATTCGAACCCAGGACCTTCTTGCTGAGAGGCGAGAGTGCTATCCACTCAGCCACCGTGCCGCATGGGCCAGCTCCAGCGCCTCCACACCTCTTCACCCCATGTCCCACTCCTCATGGCCTCATGTACACATTCTACACCGGTATCCCGAGGAATGGCCTGAGCGCGACCCGCTAACCTCAGCTTTAATTATTTGTTTGAAGACAGCGTGGAGTTCCCTCGCTGTGAGCTGAGCGCGTGCGCCTGCAAACGTCGCCTCGTAATAACTCCACCGCCAGATGTGGACCATAAAAGCCCTTTTGCCTTGGAGACTTCAAGGTTTTTTTTTGTTTCTTGTCCCCTCGTTCTCAGAGTTCTGGTTATCTGTCGAACGAGCTAGCTGTTCCTCACCGTAACAACCCAGAGCAGAAGCAAGTATGTATTATATGTCCCTAAACTGTCACTATCATCGAAAGGTAAAGTTCATCTATATTTTTTACGTTTTACTGGGGTCATAGAAGCCTCAGACTTACCCCAGATACAAATGGGTCACATGGACAATCTAGTTTAGCCCTCATTACATACCTATGAGTGATCTTTAACTTAAACATGAATAGCGAGGCATATGTCTGTTTGGGAATTGTCTCAGTGGTCAGCTTTTAGCTTCCTCCCCTCCAGGGCGTTGCGTCTTCTACCATCTCTGCATCTATCCATCCGTCCCGAGTCCCCTCAGTCTCTGGAGGATTGGCTGTGTCTTGGGTCTGAGCACACTCCATTAGCAGCTCAGGGGTCCAGGCAAAACACTGTTATCGGGACCGGCCGCCGATAATCTCAATTGGCTTTGCTCAGGCTGATAAAGGTGCAGTAAGGCCACGGGAGGGAGGGCCTAATGTGTGGGACCCCGCCTCCACAGCGTGTCGGGTGCCATGGGAACGCGTAAATACATGATTGTACTTGGTGACAGTGAGGAGCCTGGAAAAAGATGGTCATAGTGTTGCAATGGCACTTTAGTGGTTTTGGAAAGTCAATGGCTCCCTCCATATAATAGTAGTTAATTATTTTGATTATCTGTTCTAATCAACCAATTCAAACAGGGCCTCATTCATTTGTGAATGAGGCCCTGTGAATGAATGAATGAATGAATGAATGGTTACATACATGTGTAGACTAGTTTGGTAGTTGAACTTCAGCATTCATACTGGTATAGTAGTTTTGCAGAAGTAGTTTAAACATGTATTAATGAATATGTAGCCTTTTTTTGAGACAAAAATGTAGTTTTTAATTATCGAAATATAGTATACTTTGCCTCGGTTCATTCCAGTCACATATTCTGAGTCTCCAAAGAACTGTGGATTTGAACTCCTGTACTGTAGGATCTGTGTGGGCAGATGTGGCACCTGGGAGTAACATTCCTAATAATGTGTTTATGGATCAGAACGGTACAGATGCATGTGGTTACGATTTGGAGCAAGCTGCACACTTGGCAGAACTAAGATTGTCTCAGTGTTCTTGTCCAGCTCCAGATGCACCCTACCTTGCCTATTAATATATTTCTAATCTAAAACTGTGTCCCTTTTTGTAAATGACGGTTTACAAAGTTCATGGGGCTTCGAGAACAGCCCTGCCTTGTGCCCTCTAAATGCCCTCTGCCAAATGAGCACCACACCTCTCCTCTTCTCCAACTGAGCATTTTGTACGTTTTACCATGTGACTTTGAGCACGGCAAGATTACAGCCGTTTAAGTTCATTGCAGAAGGTAAGGGCAGGTATCGGGGGCTTCATGGGGGATTAGGAGCCCAAATTGGTTCCAGGTCTCGGCGAGAGGCTAATGACCAGGTTGCGCTGTAGCCCGACTGATGCTGCCGCCGCGGACCGTACGTTACGAGAGGGCTTTGGACTTTGCTCAGGACAGCTCTGACGTGATTTGAAACCGAGGGGTAATCTCAACCACATGGCGGTACCTGCAACGCTAAGTCCAAGCTACATGTTTAGTACGTGAAAAGAACGAGAACGGCCGGAGAATATCCAATAGGGGTCAGGAAAGGGTGGGCTTGATTGGTGGATGGGGATATGCTAGATTTCTGGTGGAACTTTAACCTTGTATGTTCAGTTTATAGTTCATCACCAAACTGGGAATGTATTTGGAAAGGGAAGGCCAGTCTCCCAGAAAATCAAGATTACAATCAAGAATAAGAGATTCTTTATTTGTCTCACAAATTTTAGGATGATGATACCAGCTAAGTTTTAACTAAATTGTTTGTTTTAGTCACAGCTTTCTGAACTGTTCTTTTTTGCATTGCACCTGTCGAAAGAAGAATTTTAACTCATATGTATTTATTGTTAGATCAGAGGAATTATGATATTGTCCATTTTAATCAAGCACTATTCAGTATGTAGCCTTGGTAACAAGCAATAAGTTTGCAGTTACATTTCCGTTGTCTTTTTCTTCTGTCTCGTAGTTATACATTTATTTCATCACTGTTCTACAATTCAAAGCTGTCTCATGCTGGCCAAGAAAGCGTAACTTCTGATATATTATGAAATGGGGATGTATTTCTTTCATCAGGCTGCCAAGTATTGGAGTCAAGAAACGTTTCTAGCAACATCTCATTTCCAAGCCGAGCCATACCCTCTTGTCTCAGTCACCTCCAGATGACCCACAGCCGCTCCACCAAAGCCACCTGACCAATGGGGCGGCCAGGGCAGGCTTTGTGGAGCTGGCTCTGGTGATAAAACTTCAGACAGCCTAATTGATGGGCTCGCTGACATAACAATACCTCGTGAAAGGCACAGAGTAGCCCCACGCCTGGTCCTCATTTCTGGACAGCTGCAGAGGGGAGTGCGTGGCCCCTACAATGCACCAGGAGCGGGGGTCCCGACGTGAGGGGAAGGTGGGAGTCCAGTTGGGTCTGGAATGAAAGGAGTCATTTGTAACTCAAAGCTGACTTTCAGATTCCGTTGGCCGGTTGTAGAACGGTCATGATCAAGTGCGTAGAAAACTACCCAAATGTGACACATACACTTTGAAATTGAGTAAGCATTCCATTTAAGACCATATGATTTGAAGAAGATGGAGTTTTGCACATGTTTGAGCTTGTTCACCCACTAAAAACCATAGGTCAATCATTCTGTATGAAGAGACATTAAGGTAGATTGCCATATGACTTTTGAGGGTTGCAGCAACTATTAGACAATGTTTTGAGTATGTGAGCAGTATAATGAACATGTAATGATATCTGTATTATTTCTTACATAAATGAGTAGGCTAAAACTTTGCCGTTCTAACATTAGCAGATCTGTTTCATCGGATACCAGCTGGCAGTTGACTAGAGTCCATATGTACCACTTTACTGCCTTAGACAGAATTATATTCCACACATATTTCTGTAAGGGGTAGTTTAGGGTCACCAATTTCACCATGGAAATAGTTGGGAACATATTGTCATTGATTGCAAGCTGGCGTGAAACCCACAATCTCCTCGACGATCCATCAATTCTCCCGCTTTTGCATCCCGGGCTCGAGCAATGGTCAGAATTGAATGATCCCTTACTTGTCGAGCCAATGGTTGGACGGTATGGTTTTGTCTTGCAAATCAAAAGTCATTCATCCTGCTTGACTTCAACTGTGTCCCTTTGATGCCTGGTTGCGTGGGCAATAAAATACTGTAAAGTTGAAAGCAGCGACGGAATTACCAGTGAAAAAGAGATGTAATAGAGGACACAGCCGTTGCCACATTTAATACTTGAGGAATGTCTCCCTGGTGTCCGTGACAACCGACGTAATCAAAAGCTTTATTAAAAGGGGGCACGAATAGATCATAAGGCACATTAAAAACATCCCGGTGCTCCCCAGTCGAAGGACAATCCTTCTTTCGCTGCTGTAGCCACGTTGATGGCTTTGCGTGGGACTGGGTTATGGTGTTTTTCAGAATGGGTATTTAAAAGGGTAAATACAAGATCACTAAATGGACTTTCTCTGCTCTTTTGTCTCTTCCAGGTTCATCAACGCCAGAAGAAGAATAGTACAGCCCATGATCGACCAGTCGAATCGAGCAGGTACGGAAAAACACAATCCCAAGGAAGGAACACACTACAAATACATGTTATTTCTGTTACATACACATTTTTTAAGATGTGAATATTGTCAGACTGAAATCCTGCTTTAAAATAACTGACCTTGATCGGTTTTGGCTGTTGCCTTGCTCAATATTAGTTACAACAATGTTAATTGTGAATTACACAAATCATTAACTGCTTGACATACAGACGCAAGCAAGCTTCAACTTCATCCAACCGCATATTAAGATAATCCCTAGCTATGTTATTTGATGATTAAAAAGTAGTTTGTTACAGCTCTCGTAATCAGAATTATTTTTATTACCTTTGTTAGTAACAGGAAGTCACAAACAGGGAATTTCCTCAGGCATATGTTTCAAACAATAAAGAAGTAAAAGGATAGACATTAATCTGAATATGATTCAAGTATATAAATACACACAATACATACAACATTTAAGAGTGCAGATTATTGATACATTCACTTATACTAGAGATGTTTTTTGTGAAGTATAACCAACATATCTATCTACTCTATTTCCCATTGAAGGTGTCGCCTATATTTACTTCAAATGTCTTAAGCCAAAACAGCTTTATGGGAGAAAAACCCCATTACCCAAATGCGTGATTCACTTTAGCTGTGAGCAGCATTGATTATAGCTCCATCGACTTAAACATATTTTCCCAACGGAAGTGCGTGTGCTTTCCGTGATTAGCGCTCCCTACGCACCCAGCGGGAGGTCATTAAACAAACAAATTGAAAATGAGATGCAGTTACAAGTGTGGGCGAATCCTCCATTTGTGGCTGTGGTACGAACAGGGAATTCTGACACACAAATGTGGGAAAAATACAACAAAAAGGGGCATGACTAACTGCTTCTGCTAATCTTTCGCACCATGATAATTCTCGATAAGAGTGTTAGGTTGCAAGACGCGCACGGAGCAGTGCATGTATGAGATGGTTTTATCGCGGGAGATAAGCAGTCATTCAGAACAGTGAATGCTGCTGAATGTCAATAGGGGATTTCCATGTGTTTATCCTGTGTTGTTCAATAATGATGATAAAGTGGCTTTGTGTTGGAAAGGTTCAAATGAATGCAGATATGAATCAAAAGCCTTAAAATGCAATGAAGAAAGAGCTATTTGAAAACACAATACAAAGCATGTGTCATTAGTGTTTTAGGAACATGCCACATACAACTTTGGATTCTCAGTATTTTCATATAAATCATACTATTTCTAGATTAGACACAATAAATGCCAACTATGGCTCTTGGCAATTTCAACGTGTAACTAAAATAGTACATGTTTTTTACACTAACAACAGTATAGACACATTAAAGAAGCTAAATGTTGACTTCTTAAAGCTCGGGTACCTAACTTTCACTCATGAACTATAATAAGATCCATCTAACTCGTCCCTTGCTCCCCAAACAGTTCAGTTCTTCACTAGTTTTTACATGCATGGATTTTTCAGACAGAAAAGTGAAAAAGATAAAACGGTCTTGAGTCGGACAGTGACTCTTAGACAAGAATACAAAAGATAACCTGCTTTCTAACAAGTACCAAACATTTAGTGGTCAGATTTATTCACAATATTTTACTTTCTCTTTCTGTTGGGACAAACACAACAGTTTTAAAGATAAGAATATGCACTAAAAGGGTCACAGTAGCAACGTAACCCGGTCACCAATCGCCTCAATAACAAACGCTCAGAGGGCCCCAACATTATTCTCTTGAAACGTATCAATGCATTCATCTTGACACGCACAAAGGTTAAACCAATCCCACTGCAACAACACTATGCATGCGGCAAAGTCTATACGTCCAAACCGCATGCTTTTGCCGAAAACAATGCATTCTCTCTTCTCTCCATTTATGTCTTGGCATGCCACGCGTCAAACCATGGCTGACAATGTCTTTAACAGTATGTCTGGGCTAGAGCTGGGACAAAATGCTGATTGTGTGGTGTTCTTCTCTTCTCCCTCCCCTCCCCCCGCCCCTTCCTCCTGTCCGTGTTCATGTCCACGTTTTGACTACAATCAGGCTTTCTTCTTGATCCTTCAGTGAGCCAAGGAGCGGCGTACAGTCCCGAAGGCCAGCCCATGGGCAGTTTCGTGCTGGACGGGCAGCAGCACATGGGGATCCGACCGGCCGGTGAGTTTTGGGGAAGTCGGCACGATGACCAGCATGCGGCACGTTTGAACTAACAGTGCGATATGAAAGAGCGTGACTTTGTAAAGACAGGGTCCAGGGAAGATTTTGTTCAATCCTGAAAAGTTGTCTGCTTCTTCATACTTGACTGTGATGAGTCACCTGACGCTCATTCTGCACATGAAGAAAACTCGTCAATAGGAAGAAGTAGAAATCATGACAGCTAGCGATTGTTTTCATAAATTGACTGGCCATTTATGGTTGCAGCTGAATTCTTAAGAAAACCAACATTGGAAATCTCCCTAAAAACATCTAAGGGACATCTAGCAGCCCTAGGGTAAACGACTAAGTCTATTTTACAATGAGACTTTTTCAATTTGGCAATGGAACGTTTTAAATATAGAATTTCTATACATCCAATGTGTTGTTGGAGAAAATGTGTGCTCTTATGACACATTGATTCTAATAATTGTTATAATGTAGCAATTAATTTTGCATGGATTTTGCATAATATATTTGACGTTTTGTTTAATAGTCTGATGATTTGCATGACATGAATTTGATACAACACTAAAAACGATGCATGCTAGTCTTATATTCACATAGCAGGAAGGGCTTGAACACTTTGCCAACAATAAATGCATGAACTGACGATACAAACTGTGTGCACTGTCCCGTAACATCTCGGCGCCTTTGACCGGCCACACGCCCCACTTAGCGCCTTTGTTTAGCGTTAGCATTAGCGGCTAATCCTCTGCTTGTTGCTCTTCCTAAGCTGACACATCTGGGTGGAATCTCTCACAAATAAACTATCTCTTTCGCTTGTTCCCACTTCTGTTTTTTTGTTTTGTTTTCTTGACCCTTGGTTGACCCTGTCTTTCTTCCGTTTCTCTCCTCTCTCCAGGGCCTATGAGTGGAATGGGGATGAATATGGGCATGGATGGGCAATGGCACTACATGTAACCCCTCCGTCATGTAAAGCAAAAAAACAAAAAAAAAAGGCAAAGGGGGAAGTAAGTACGGGCTCTTTTTCTTGTTGTTTTACACTCTTGGTGGGTTGTGGGTTTGTCGTTTTCTTTCCTCGCGTCATTTCATTTCACCGGTGCGTCAAAGCGGCTTCCTTCTCAGCGGGCTCCATACGACAATATTTCAATACGACGTTTGCAGACAGACATGTATAGACAGATTATATTTCTTGTGCTCAGGCAAACCTTAGTTATTAACAAGAGAGTACACACTGAGATCACAAAGGTGCAAGTGGTCATAGAATCGCAACGCAGATGAATGTGAAAGAATTAAATATGTATTAAAAAACAGGCTATACTGAGACTGGGTGGAATTTAAAAACAAAATGGAAAGTTGGTCTAGTTTTGACCCTTGTAAGCTCCTCAATGGTTTGTGTTCCTTTTGTCCCTTAAACTTGATCTTGTGAATATTTTGTTTTGTACTTTTTCAAATTTGGACATACCTTGATCATGGTTTGTAACTTGCTAAAGCGTAAGGAATTCTTTCATGCATATTGTCTACTCCCCAAAATAGTCAAACTAGTAAAAATGTGTATATATTGGTGCACTGTGAACATTTTACAAATGTGCAAATCATTAAATAATTTTCTGAGCCCAAAAGCTGACCTTCAAACAGAAATCTTGTATGTTCTATATTCTGGTCTACGTACATGTTGTATGTATGGTCAAAGGATACATTATTGTATGTAAGCAGCAAAAGTACCACATCCACCCATTCAAAACCCCAGTCCCAGAGACAGGAGGGTTCTTGTCAGCACTTGTACGTCAACTTCTCGCTGTGGGGCTCCTTTCGCACCAATACACCACCAATTGACTAAACATTCCAATATTAAAGCTTGAATTGTAGTATTCGTGGTATTGTGGTCTTAAGTCTGGCCTGGAGGTATGAGAGTGCAGTGAGTTTCTTCAAAAAATGCGATGATAAGTAATTACATTAGGTCATTGTTCACGCTAGAGTAGGTCCAGCGAGCTTTGATTGGACCGTGTTAGACAGTCGGGTTTAGTTTGTCTAAGGCTCAGCTTGGAGCCATGAGTTACTAAGAAAAAGAATAGTCTGTGATGTTGGAAATGGTAAACTATTAAAGTTATGATACATATTTTATCCTGTAATTATCTCTTCTTAAACCAAATAAGGAGGTTATGATGCCCCATTTGACTGTTTGAACGCTTTACAGTGTCATGCTACAGCTGTGCTACCGAGTTGAGTCTAGTACATGTTAATGTAAACAAATCAAACCCCATCATGTCGTCTTCATCTTATGCATAGTTGAGAGTCACATTTTGATGCTTTGGGCTGAGATCTGAAGAGTGAAGAGTAAAGAAAGAGATGACCACTGGCCAAAGAACAAGGCTAATAATACATACATGTGAAAACTAGACAGAAAATGACTAATGTATTTTATAAATTATAAAAACCAGTTTAAAATTGACCATTATTCAACATACTCAAGTATTTCACACATTTTCCAGTTAAATATGTTCAATGTATGAAGTAAATGAGGTCCATTAAACATGATCTTGAGAATATGCCTATGTGTTAACTAGAATGTGTTAACTAGAAAATACATGGATCAACAGTAAGAGATTTTTCTTACTTTTATATCCAAACTAACACGGAAGTTGAAGAAATGCAGTTGTAGAATGTAATTTGATTGCAGAAATTCCCAAAAGTAAGTGACTCAACACTCTTGTTTTGAGTCACTCAAATTACTCAGTTTTCAAGCTGTAACTTGAAGTTTGAAAATTGAGCAATTATACAGAAGGGTCTGATGCATGGATGAAAACTCAAAGGGTTATATTGCTTATATCTACACAAAAAATATGTTTTGGTTGTCGTATTGTACATTTAATTAATATTTTCAAATGTTAATTGTAATATTAGCCTAGCCTTATCTGCTTGTGCTCCAAACCCCAGACTCACTTTCTCGACCCTTCCCTAGTTAGCAAATGAATAGAATACTTCCAGACGATGGAGTAAATCCTTCTGGGACAAAACGCGTCGGACTTGTGGCGCCACACAACTGTAAAACCCGGGGCGTCCCAACCTGGCAACAAAACTCCAAATGTATTTATCACAACAGCATCGGCATTGCTCTTAGCCAGTGCTCAAGGCGGACATTTAGGGAAAAAATAACATCTCCCGGGGAAAAGGGGGCTGCTGGGGAGGAATTAAGCAGGCTCCAGTGAAGCGCTAAAGAAGGAGACGTGAAAGTGTCCTCTGAGTGAGATAAATCTGTCCCGACCCGCGATTGATGCCCAAATTATCTTATATGCAAAGACGGGAGCGCGGCAGTACATTACGGGCCCATGGAGAGATATAGTGGCTTCTCACAGCGAGGTGGGGGGGTATGTTTTGATTATTTTGTACTGGAGGCGATTTAAGACTGAATAGCATGACCAAAGACACAAGAGAAGACAGACCTCGCAATGGATTTATACGCTTGTTGAAATTCCAGCAGTAAAAAAAAGGCGTCTTGTTGGTTCGGTAATACGCAGGACTGGATCGCGAACAGCAAAGCTTTTGTCGAAACTTCATCGTGTTTGGATATTACTCAAAGAACCTTTACAACTTTCTTGTTGATTTCCTGGATGCTAACCTTAAATCGTTGTTGGCTATTAAGACTTCAGCTAGGGTAAGACGGATGCATTGACAATTTCAGTTGTTCAAAGATCCAATAATCTCATAAACGTTGATATTAAGTTCATTTCTGTACCTAAAAGAGGCCAACATACACATTTTGAAATGTTCTTAGCTATTAGCTTTAGCAATACGTTTTAAGTCACCCAGTCCCCCGCCCCATCTGTCTAGATTCTACCTTTTTAAAGTCCGTACTCTAAGATAAAAGTGTAGAATAGGATACAGTAAAATATTGCTTCCAATTATTGGCATAGTCTATTCAGATCTTAATTTCTTGTTTTTGCCAATAAATATATTCAAGATCATGTTACAGGGCTGAAAATTAAATCAAAATATCTTTCTTCAAGTCAAAACATAAGCAGCTTTTAGACCAATTCTTAGCATTACAACTTCATGCACTTTGACTGGTTTTCAAACAGTTTCTCTAATCTGGCTCTGTCCTTTTCTGAACTGTAAAAGATCTACATATTCCCATCTGGACTATAACATTGGTGCATTTCACACTTCCATATTCCCGGATAGCTAATTCCTCTTCTTGCATGTAACTGCACTCCCGGTTACGGCCCTACACACATTTACGGCGAAATGGCCAGAGCCTGATTAAACCGGGGCTGTTCTCCTGGAGCCACACTGCTGACATTTTGAAAAATCAAGACGTATGGCATCCCGAAGGCGGCGGGCGAGCTTTTATTTAACACCTAAACTCCTGTGCCCAATGAGCCACAATATAATAACACTTAGGTTGATTAAAAGATCCCTTTATATGTAAATGGTCGCTGGGAATTTCCGAAGGGTCACGACGGCAATTCAAGCGATAGACATTATTTCACCCTTCTGCTTTCTGTCACTTTCTCTCTCCCTATGCTCTCAGTTATGTCGCTCGCCCCTTGCCCTTTCAGTCTTGCTTAACGGCGTAAAAATAGCAGGAAAAAAAAAATTCGGAAGCAATGTTCCCTAAAACAGCCCTGCATAGAGACAACATTTGCTCAGGTTGGCTAATTCTTAATACAGGGCCATATAATTTGGAGACGGCTTAATTGCGCAATGCACTTTATGCTTCATGACCAATTACATTAATAGCTTAATACAGAGGAATATTATCCGCTCTTGATTTGATTACACAGGCCCACAATATGGTATATTTGGTACTTAATTATGGACAGCCGTTGAGCAGGAGAACAGAATGGAGAGAGAGTTGGGTTATTGTCCCGGATGGTATTAGCACTCTGGTTAATAAAACAGGAGAGGCAGAGGATTACAAGATTGGAGATTAGCAGATTACAGCGGCTAAAACATCTGCCGGGGCTTTTAACGCGGGCTGATGCAAGTTATATAGATATGAAGTCATGATTGGTTTAGCGAGTCCTCCGCGACGCGAGGATGGTGGGTATGGACAGATCAGTAATGGAACGGCTTGTAAAAAGTTTGTTATGTGACTGTTGCTATTGTGTTTTGATGAACCTAACAGAAGCACTTGAGATGATGGAAATTTTAACTAGATCTGGGATAGGAAAGCTTTGTCTGGACACCGTCTTTAGAAGTGGTTATTACGGCTATCATTATTCTGATCAGCAAAAAACCTTATTAGTGCATCTCATAATTTCAAATGCAGATTTTATTTTTAGCTTACAGCAAGTCTGCATACGTGGAAACAGTTTGGTAAGACTAGAGAATAGAATCAGAAGCTTTTATGAGTGTGAGATGAAAATTACCAGATATTTTGAGTTATTTAGCCGCATCTTGAGCTTGACCACTAAGCACAAAGGTTCGGTATGCATAGATGTTAGATTGATATATCTACCAAGTCTCTGCTCCAGTTTCAGGAAAATGTACATTTATTACAACATTTTGAAGCTTCGGGTGTACACACTATCAAAATTATACGCTGATAAGTTGTGCGTTACATCTCGACTCTGCTAGCTTGACGTTAGCAGCTCACACTGAACGCATTCACAGCTCCAGTGTGTTTACATTCTGCTGTCCAAATGGTCCGATCGCCAGAAAAACCTTTAAATTTACGACGGCGCGTAGCAGTATAAACATCCCCTCCGAAAACGGCCCCGCTTTCAACCAATGATCCCGGCCATTAATCTGCGAACGGGCCGTCCCTCTCCTGCTTCCCTCTCCTCCCCTCGCTGGGCCCTCCGGTGTCATTCCTTAATTGCGGTGTACTAAGGTGGAGGAATGCGGCGAGCGAGCATGCCTAGTGACCTTCCAGCGACCTCTCCCCTCCCATTACTGCTCCTAATCCCCCCGGGCTTCACGTTACAAGCCAGGACCAGGACCTATCCCCAAACGCCGCCACCACTGGGACAGCCTGTGTTCCCCTTTCAGGTTCTCCCCAAGGGCTAGTCCTAGTTCGAGCCGATTCGCGAGTCTGTCAGACATGGGTGTATTGTAAAAGAATCAGCTCCTGGGATGCGTCAGGGTAATCTCCAGATTTCCTCCCCATGCACTCTGGAGTTGGCTTGATTTCAAAGCGAAAGGTTAGCTAAATGCAGTCGGAGAAAGACAACACACACAATTTAGCAGGCTGTACATTATTGTTAGTCTGTGACCAACAGGAAGTTAAGCTAATGGTAAACTAAAAACACCAACATGAATACAAGATAAGATATCCTTTGTTATTGTGATCCAAAATATTAAGGTTTTGTCATTATCCAAATGAAACTATCATAACGTTTACAAATACAAGTTGAGGGATACTACTTCTTGTTGTACAGAAGAACACATCTGGTGGAACGGATTGGATTTGTTAGTAATAGTTCATAACACAATAAGATTACTTCATTTAAAAACCAAATATACCTACTCTTTCCAACCAATATACAAAATTCTAATACTTGCGATGTCACAACACTGAAACCCTCTGGTCTGGAAAGCAGCTTGTATTTTAAAACTCTCCCACTTCAGGTGACTGCTCTGTGATAACATCTATAAAACGCCACACTTTGTTTGGCTTAAATCTTTTCGCTAACCGCTAATCCCCAGCGCGATGGTGTTACAGATAGCCGAGCGCTCAATTATTTAAGCACTTCTTTAAGGGGAGTCTAAATCAAATATGTGGGTAGAGGCTGGTCCCCCCTGAGAGGACGCCGCTGGGACGGGGGAAGGCTCTCCTTGTTTTGACATTTATGCTGTAGTTAGTGAAGGCTTTCATGATTATCTTTGGAATCACATCTGCTTAGTGCGTGGTTTTGTCCTGGCTTAAAAAGAACAAATATAATGCGTTATATTTGCCACTAAACAGGATCTTGAGAATATAGAAAATGTAGCAGGCTAAAACAAAAGTCCTGAATCATTTTTGCACAAGATTCTCTTGTTTGGACAGAATTAGTCTCAGTATTAGTAATTTTGTTTGTCCTATTGTGGTGGAGAAATCAGTTCCGTTCAGATTTAACAAAATAAATGGTTAGAAACAGAATGAAAAAAGGAGATTGTGAAGACATCCCAGTTATCAGTCTGCTGCTGCTCTGTTCTTGCGTCATTAGCCTTGGTTCATTTTGGGTTTCACCTGAATCCCTCCATAAACTGTGACCTGGTTAAGTTTTAGTGCACACAGCTACCGTTAAGAAGCCTCGACTTGATTGTGATTGTTAGAAATATACTTTATCATCCAAACCAAAATAGCATTGCATTTTCAACAATGCGTTTCTAACTCAAGCTAACTCTTGATAGCTTTACTGCCAGAGTTGTGACAATACTAATGTCTAATTTCACTGCGAATGATATCAAATTGTGTATTGACAATTGTAAGAGTAGTAAAAATGAGTCTGGAGCGTGCTGTTTAAACCATGTTTCTTGCGTCCTCGCCTGCTGCTGTCTGAGGAACTAGGGATCATTTTTCCAAACCTGAGATGTGACCACAGCGCTACTGGGCATTGTAAACCACTCAGCATGGCCCAAAATAGCCTCAGCCCAATGGTGTGTGTCTTTGCTCCGGCGGGCTAAGGAGGTGCCGCCTCGTAAAATGCGATCAGCTATTTGAAATTGAATTCAGCCTCCGTTGCATGGGGCTGTCGAGCGGTCATACGTATGCCAGCTAATCTGTGGGAGAAATACAGCGATGACATGTGGGGCTGGAGCGCTTCAAGACCACTGTATTTATTTATATGACTGACGTTTTCCTAATCTTGATTATAATGTTTATTAATGAGAGATGAGCACATGTATTTCACTACAATTTCAAAAAGAAGGGATGAAAGTTAGGGGAAGTTGGTGCTAAGACATTTTCTTGTAAAGTCTGCATTAAAATATTAATTGCAAGCACAATTTGGTATTTAATAATATAACAAACAATATAAAAGCTTGACACAACAGTATTTTAATTTTCCGGAACATTAAGGAAACACATTTTTAAGCTTTCGTATTTGGGTCAAACAGACTGAGAAAGGATTTTGAGATGGCTTTTTGTGATTTGTGCCGTTTTGCCCACCCCTCTAACGTCCGCGTTTGTTTCCCAGGTCTGCCAGGCGTCCCGGGTGACTTCGGCCCTCACGGCGCTCCTATGGGCATGAGCATGGCCCCCGGCTTCACCCACCCTCCCCACCTGCACCACGGAGCTCCCCTTCATCACCACCACCCTCACCCCGCCGCATACCTACCCAGTCACCCAGCTCCGTCTCCCAACTACCACCACCACCACCACCACGCCATGCTGATGCACGGAGGAGCACCCGGCCACCTCCACCCAGAGCGGACCCCCCTCATGTCCCCCGTCGACCCCGGCTCCGGTGGGCCGAGCTTGGACATACACGCCCAGTGATATCCGGACGAGACGCTGCAGAAACCATATGTAGAGGCGTTAGAATGGCTTGGATCGCGAACGTATCGACTTGGGCAGAAGTGACTTGGCAAGTGAAAAGATCTGCCAGTGAAACCATTTATTTTCTTTATTAAAGCCAGGGTATGTAATTTCACCAAATGACCTAAAGCAGTGGCCTCTCGCACTGCTTTAGATCAACTTTTTTGAACAGAAAAGTGAGAAATTTCCTCATTTAGCCAATCAGCTCTCAGCTCTATAGCCATAGATTTACTGGCAAGGCTTTTTCTTATAAGTTTTTTAAGACAAAGACGACTTTTCACCAAGCTTTCGTTCAGAGAGGTATTAAAGAGTAAATGTCTTGTTTCACTGGCCAATCATGTTACTTGTCAAATCCATCTCAAAACAATGACATACAACCACTATTCAAGTCACTTCAACTCTTCTAGACGCTGGTTTTTGCAGTGGGGAATCGACGGACTGAAAACCCTCGGGACAAGCAGCTACAACACTTACAACAAACAACTTTACTTCGCTCTTTGTAAGACCAGAATTTGACGCTCTTCGAAATTCCAAAAACGAGCTGTGACGATGTTTTCCTTTTTTTACTTGTTACTTTTGAGCCGAAAACGCGGACCAAGCTGACACTTTGTAAAGACTTGGGATTTTTTTGGTAAAACATTGGCGCGCGAAGGAAAAAAAACATAAACCGGACGCTGGAAGACGGACGTGTTTTTCTCTTCGCGGCGTCGGGAAATCAATCCACTCTGGACAACTCGGACGCAAAGACTCAGAGTATAACTACTGTAGTATAACGTATAAATACTAAGTTAAAACTTGTGCATTTTTGGGGTTGGTCACTAAAGTTTGTATCCTAAAGCTAGTTTTTAGAACATTTTCTCTCTTTCCGTCTTCATGGACTGTCTTGCAGAACAACATATGAGGGAAAAAAAAAAGTTTCCAATACGCAGAAATGGGCAATCACGTCCTGCCAGTCCACGCAGAAAATGGCAGGAAAATGGCTGCTAACCTTATACACCAGAAAATTTTCCAATCTTTCAAGAATGAATGTTGCCCTCATTTTTTTTAAACGCCCAAGCACTGGATCGTGTTGGTTTTATACATTTTAATTTTATTGTTCTTTTTGTACCCTCTTGGACTCTCGCCCGGAGCCCGTCGAAGGAAAAAAAGTGGAAATACCCAACTAGCGCTTCTCTACTTGTACATTTGTTTTTGGCGTGGATCAACAAAAGTGGCCATACAGACTTTATATATAGACACTGTTGATTCGATGGCACTGGAGAAGCTGGTGGTCGGACGCACCGAAAAAGTGAAAAAATAAAAAAAATTGTGGGGGAAAAAAACTTAAATTATGAACTCAATGCTTTGGGATTGAGAAAATATTGTATCAAACTTCGTACAGAGTTCAGTCTATTAATTGTTTCATGTTAGATATTCTATGTGTTTACCTCAATTGAAAAGAATGTTTTTTGCTAGTTTCAGATCTGCTGTGGCATTGATATTGTATGTCCATAAAAGTCCTTCCTTTTTCAGCACGTGTCCCTCACTAGATAAGATGCCGTCTCCCCTTGAGCTTTGTCCAAACTACATGAAATACTTGTATGAGGAGTGTGACGTAATGTTTCAAAGGTGTTTCAGTCACAAAATGCTGTAATAAATATTTCATTTTTGGAATTTTGGTAGATTTTTGTGTGGCGTAAGTGGTTTTTCTCAAGTCCAGACACAAATATTATGAATGACAGTTTTCACCCGGGTTAGAAATTATGCATTTTCAGTGGACCAAATATCTAGTGGTGAAGATGTGCGCAATTTAATGATAATAAAAAGCAGTAAACAGGTTCTGTCCATGAGACTTTAGTCTAAGGCAGTGTTTTTCAACCAGTGGGCCGTGGCTCGCTAGTGTGGTCCAATATCACCTACCTGGCCTAAACCAGACATGTCCAAACTGAAACCTGTGGGCCAAACGCAGCCCACATTGTGCATTTATGTGGCCCTTTCTGGAAAACGCAGTACCCTTTAAGGCACTTTCCCAGTGTCATCCAGCCAACTTCAGCCACTATAGTCATGCTATACCTCGTCCTGAAGCTGACATTTGGTTATGATTGTGCCACAAAAGTCTATGCACTAATGCAGCTGCAGTGTGAATCAATACGGACCAATCCAACCCCATTTGAAAGCACAGAAACAAACAACGTCTGGACAAATCTGGTGAATTAGATAAAAATGTAGACCTCTTATAAAAAAGTGTGGTCCAAATAATGGCAAAAGAAAATTATGTGAGGAAAATTAGAAATACTTATTTACACTTTTTTCAATAATACGTTTTAATGAAAAAGATTTTGTTACTAAATGCTGCAGTGGGCCATGTGATTGTTTACAACGAAAAGGTGCATCACGGTTCAAAAAGGTTGGGGAACACTGCTCTACGGTCATAGTTTGAAAACGTGACGAGTTTGAAAAATGAAGCTCTTGGACAGAAGGGGTGGGTCCTTTAACTTCCGCACTCTTTCGTGAAGCCCCTATTAAGACACGGTCAGTTCAGATCCACATTAATAGCTTCAGGATTTGTAGGCACTGCTCTTGAGCTCTGCCGTTCCTCCAAACGACAGTAACTAATTGTGTCTGAAATAGCTCTCCCTGTGGCAATTTATTTAGCCACTCACAAAAACATGCTAATTAGCTGTCACATGCAAATGAAGGCAGAGGAGCAGCACTTGGAGAATTTAAAGGCACTACAAGAGCACACTGCAGAAAAGCCAAGACGAGGTGCAGCAGAGTGAACTGGAACTCCTCTGATGTTGTTTTTGCTTTGAGTGAAATGGTTTTAAAAGAAAAACATATTTTACTTGATTAGTCGTAACTAACCTGTTCCTGTGCAGGGGTCCGTGGGGGTCGGTCACAGAGAGGGCTGGGCTGTGGGCGAAGGTGCTGCCCCCGCTCGGTTCTGGATAAAGCGGAAGTGAAATGGATTGTTAGATGAGATGTTTTGCGCAGGACATGTTTAAAAAAAATATTGGAATGGAAGATTTGAAAAATGATCTATTTTAATTGTAGACAAACAGGAAGTGACGTTTGACCGCTAAGAATAAAGTCCAGAGGTAAAAGCTGGTGAACTTGGCAAGTCTAACACACTCCAATGTATTTCCAAAAAAAATCATTATAATACATGTTGTAACTTGATTGATCTCCTCTTTATATAATTCTTATTTTTTGCATCAAGATGTGTGGGATTTATACAAACTTGAGTTCATTTGAAAATTAATTGGCAGTATACACACATTTACACAAAACATATCTTAATTTTTCTTCTAATAAAAAAATATGGCATTTGTATGTGTTTACAGATATGAGACTTTAGACTGCAGATTTGTTTATGAGCCTATTTTCCTTTTCTCCACTTTTTTCTCTTCACAATCTATATAAAAAGCTTTACACAAAATACAAAAACATAACATCTAATAAATTAATAAATATATAGATAGAGACATTGTGCACAAATATAAGAACGCCCCCCCCATGGCAAAGTCCACCTCCCCCGGTTACATGACACACACTCGGTACAGACTGGACTGGAGGCTGTGGCGGTGTGTCGTGTTATTCGGCGTGGTGGAGCTCCCCCTGTGGGCGCGCTCTGGTACTGCACCATGCACAGGCCTCCGCTCACAAACCGACTGCTCCTCAGACCACTAGCCGCGGTTGGGGTTCCTCCACTGGGCAGTCGCTAACGTGTGTCCGACCTCCCCGCGGTCCATCACACTGGATGGAGACAGGAAGGACAGCAAAAAGCCACACACGGGATTTAATTCGATTTCTGTTTAATATGAAGCGCGTTTGGCCTTTACTTTATTGAAATAAAACACAAAAAGGACATTCCGTTTATTTTAGAATATGGGACTAATATTAGCTACTATAACCTGTCATTTTGATAATTTACTCTGAATTCCTGCCACACCTCGGCCCATGTTGCGTTTTTTTTATGGTTGTTTTTTGTCTTTTCTTTAAAAAAAGATATATAATGGCCTACTATATTTACATGTTCTTTCTTTTTTGCAGTCAGGCTTTTCATTCTATAAATCCATGTGGGTTTATTGTTTCTGTTGATTACTAAAATCCAATCTCGTTAAAAATCAATGTGTAATTTGTATTTGGTGAATTTATATTTCAGATACTAAATTATAAACTGAGGAAGTGGGCTGTTTACATTCATTTGCATCACTTGGGCCTTTCCACAAATATTCCCTTGTTGCTTAAAAATGAAGTGACAATGATTAATGAGCCCAAACGTCCTCTCAGCAGAGGCGACACTGCGGCTGCTACACACACGTCCAGGCTGCGTCCTCGCGTTTCGTTTTGAGATTAACCAAAAATACATTTATTTTAAAGAAAAGATTTTTTTACAGTTATTTTTAAAATACATTTCCCCTAATTCTATTTTATTTATTTTTTTGTCCAACTTCATCATTTGAAAATAAGTTTTACATTTTTCAGAAAATAAGTTTTACATTTTTCAGATGATCCCACAAAAAAGTCTGACCAAAAGTAGAGAAAAAGTATCATGAGCCGATAACTTTGCAGCTTCAAATGGCCAAATACACCATTTAATGTCTTGTTTTAGGTGTTAAAAAAACCTATCTTAAATGCTGGCCTTTTCCCCTCCTTCTTTCCATGTGTGCGGCCTTTTTGCAGCAGTAATAATAACAGTATTTAGTTTTGTATCAAACGCTGCGTGTTTGGAACAAGTCTCAACGTCATTAAAAAAATGAAGCAATCAAAAACATTACAACATGCACAACCACAGTTACATTTGATAAAACAGTGAAAACCTAGAGGCCTTGAACTGAATAATCTCATTTTTATTTTATCTTCGTGCCCATTGATTTTTTTTTGTGTCTTTTTGGACAATTTTTGCGTCTAAAAAATGTCATAATTCCAACCACAAAAATAGTATAAATGAGTACACATATATACGGGTAAAAGATCGTGACAGTGGATTATAATGAGGCCCAAAGATGTTATTTTATATATTTGCAATAGTCTTCCTCGTGCCCTCCCCCCCTCCCTCCCCCCTCCGCAGACAGAAGGTAGACTGCCTTTTTGCCTTCCCCCTTCTCTTTCTTTCTTTCTTTTTTTCTCCTCCTTTCTCTTTTTTCTCCGCCGATTCGCAGTGACAGGGATGATGGATGATGCAGCCAGGCCAAACAACTCCTCCCCTCCATCTCCGCGCTGTCCCCCGGCCTGAGCCTCCCTCCTCACCCTCCTCACCCAGAGTCTGCGCTCCAGAAAATAAAGCGCGCGCATGTGTGTGTGTGCGTGCGTGTACTTGTGTGTGTGTGTGTACGTGTGCTTATTTATACATCCCTGTGTGGACTCGTAATAAAAAGTCTGCACACAAACAAGAGGCAGTCTCTTTAAGCACTGCTCCTGGGGTAAAATAAGCGAAATAAAAAGCCCGGATGCACTGGTGAATGTATAGAACTGTTGGCTGCGTACTGGCGCGTGATGTTTTATATATTTTAATTACAATTTGCGAGGAAATAATGTCTCAGTCCTATAGTGGTTATAAACAGCTTAAAACGCATTCAATTTGAAAAGATGCAAAAAGCCGACATCACAAAATGCATATTCTATGTTAGGCATATTAGGCATGTAAAAGTCCTCATTTTGCTTCAACAACTATTTGGTCAAATTCAAGATGAGAATCTGAGAAAGGCCTATAGAAATGTGTAAAGGCCCAGATCTGAAAAAAACACAGTGATTTATTACATTAGAAAATCGAATTCAACTTATTGAATTAAACTACATTTGAATGTTGTATTTAAAACGGGGACAGCTTAAAACAAAAACCTCTTTAGAACTATTTCATAAATGAACAGGCCTCGCACGAGCGTTCACAAATACAGCAGCTTGTATCGGCGCTGCCGCTGTTTCTGTTTCCACTCATTATGATGGGTTTGCGCGCGTTTACGTGTGTTTGCGTGTGTTTACGTCGGGCGCATCTGCCCGGCTACTGTGTATTTTTAGAGGCGCTCATGCTGCTGCTGCTGCTGCTGCTGCTGCTGCTGCTGCTGCAGGGGAAGCTCTTGGTTTATCTCCTTCAGTTATGGACACATATAAAGTTTATACGGACGCATTCATAATAAATAAAATGGAGGCTAAAGTGCGTTTCCAGATGGTGCGGGTGATCACGGACCGGGCCTCTCTGTAAAGAGACATATTGTGCCTTTGGATTTTTAAATCATTTATTTTAAACGGAACGATTGGGTTTACATTTATATTCAAAGTATTTTTGTACAGCCCTAAACAACAGCAGTCGGACTTTACAAAGTTGTCGATTAACAACAGATCAGAGACTCAAACAGTGCGAACGCAGGAAATGTAATAATAACAAATATGAGCCATTGGTCCACAGGGAGCAGGACAACTGTCCTCTAATATTTACACATGTCATATTTCCTGTAATCACATTTATATTTTTAACGACTGGAACTTTACACTATTCGCTGTCGTTAACGACAACGAAGTACCGACACAGCAGCAGATCATAGCGGCCGCGGGTAGAATATTTGTTTACAATTTGAGCCAAAATGCACAAAGTAAGGACAGATGATCCACAAAGTGCATCTACAACAGTGATCGATGATGAGAAACACTTTAGTGTGAGTGAGGGAACAGTGTAAAGCCTTTGGAAAACACAATTATATATAACGTTTTGATAATAATCTATTTACAATCTCATCTTTAATCTCTTACTTGTGATGACACAAACCCAGTGTATGGTTTCACATGGGGCAATAAACGATAGAAACAATATACAGTTATTTAAGTAAGATTCACCATCACAGCAAATCGACTCAAGAGAAAAGAACCTGATGCTCATTATTTATGCACGTTTTTCTTCTCACTCACGTCAGCTTCACACTTTACAAACACTTTTATATAAAAATAGGTCGTAGTTTATTTTTCATATGCTGAAGTAGTGTTGCGACTAATATTCACGTATCTTGGTCGGTCCAACCTGTGCTGCAACACTGGCATGTCCCACTGTGCACGAGCGCCTAGAACATATTCATTTACATCACGGGTATTCACGCGCACACCCGGGATTATACAACACTCCAAAACATACCGCGTTTTTCTTTCAATCTGATGATCACTATACGCACTATACGCGTTTTTCTGCCTCCGCACGTGCACGGCACGGGGGCGGGGGTGCGCGCGCCCGTGTGCTCGTGCGCGTGTCCCTGGGAGAGAGGGCCGCTCGTTTATCAACGTCAGGCGCATAATGACCGTCCCGCAGCCTCCTATTGATGAGGATAATGACATTAGCGCAGCCGCTGATCAATACCGAGTGTGGCTGCTTTCTTACGAGCCAGAGGGGAGAGGGGAGAAAAGGGGGGGAGGAGAGAGGGGAGTAGAGGGGAGGAGAGGGGAGAGGGAGAGGGAGAAAAGCTGGAGGAGGTGCGAGGGGAGAAAGAGGAGAGAGGGAGATAGGCGAGGGGGGCGGGGGAGTAAGAGGAAAACGGGGGAGATGGGAAAGGAGAGGGGAGAGAAGAGGAGAGTGGGGAAAAATAAGTGGAGAAGGAGAGGTGAAAGTAGAGGTGGTGAGCAAAAGGCCCGCTGCAAGCATCACACACACAGAGGAGTGAGAGTTTAAAGCAACTGTTGGAACGAGATGCACCGAGCGGACGTGGTGTTTATGTGCTTGTTTAGAGCCATGAAAAATAAAAACATTAAAAAACGTCATTATAAATGGTTATTAAAAAGTTCCCAGGTTTGTAATTAAAACTCGTTCTAAAGACATTTCTAATGCAAACAAGTAGAGAAGGAAGGAGGCATACACTCAGATGCATTCTTAGTCAGAATTGTGTCTTTTATGTATTTTAAGGTGACAATTTTCCACCTTGGTGGACAATAAAGTTTTCATATTCGTAAATTAAAGTAAGTAATAATGTGCTCAGCTGTCCTGAGCTGGAATATGCTCAGAACTGTGGTAACACGGTTGAATTCCCCGTCATATTTAACAACGTTTTATGCTGTCATTCCTCAACTATGGAACCAGGTTTGCACTGTAATCTACAACTGTAATCTGCTGTAATATGCTGCTGTGACCTGAAGGGCGGTTGCTGATTATTACTATTGTTAGCTTTTTAGAATGATTTTTGCTGCTACTGGACACCTGAATTTCTCCGACTGGGATCAATCTATCTATAATCCAATTTCTGATCATAGAACATGTCTTTTTACTGTATGAGAATCCATGTCACTGTCACTGTAACCTAAGTAACCACATTTAACTAGGAGAAGAGGAGAGTTTGATTAGACACTGCATTTTGTGCTAGAAAAGACTTTTACAGGCAAGTTTGGAGAAAGGTGGCGTCACGATGAATTTTGTTTCTTTAAATGCACCTGAGAACCGGGTCAGCTGTTATTATACTGCATAAAACAGCTGCTGAGAAATCATAAAAACCAAATGGACGCATGATGAGCTTGGATTTTTTAAATAAGAACAATAAATGTGTCTCAAGTATCGGTTTAAGTTGAATTGTGGACATCTACCAAACTGTAATGAATATAATGACATTCCTAACTTGCTAAATCCTTGATTCAATTCAATGTATAGCCCTGAATCACAACAGCAGTCTGGGATTCCTTAACTGCAGATCAGAGAATCAAATAGTCCGAAGACAGGAAATACAGTGAAAACAAACACATGGAGCCTTTGGTCATAGGGAGCAGGTCGACCACTGTCCTCAAATCTTAATAAATGTCCGAACATGTTCCTAAAAGTCCCGGATCACTGTCCTTTGACCCTCCTGCAGCAAGAAGCCCCTCCCAGAGGGAATAAGTGACCTTGGCGAGGCCCATATTGACAGAGGGATCCACTCCCACAGACAGACAGGCAGTAGATCCAGGACTCAGGCTGTAGAACGAGGACTTAAGCTGTTTAAAGCCTCCCCTAAATAAACGTGTCATAGATCTGCAGTATATAAAGTTTGGAATATCTATAAATCCTTGTATTTACAGGACACTTTGAATAAAAGCTTCACTCCCCACAATAATAGTCGTCCTAAAGTTGCCTTCAGACATTTCAACATGACGTTTGGAGCTGTCGATCACTAACTTTGTTGCGTCATGTCTCATGCATCTTCCAGAAACATTGAGTTATGGAACAAGAAATGTCATTATAATCAGACTAAGGTGATACTGCACTTTTAGAAACACAAAGAAACACTAGAGTTTAGAGGATTTGGAACTCTGAGGCTGACTTTGTTTAATTATCGCAGCAGTCTAGAGCACAGGCTGAAACACCGGGGAGTTAACGGGGAAACTCTGAAAACTAGAAATTTGTTCAAAAGTTTAATTCATTTATTTCAATAGTTCAAGGACTTGAGCTGGACTTATCATTTAAATAACACAATATGCACACTGGTCTATTTCTTAAATTCCAGAATGAAAAGTTGTCGTAAGCTCCATCCACACTGGACAGACAGGTTTAAGCCTTTTTAAATGAAAGGGTTTCCTCTAAATGCACCACATGATATAGTATTATTAAAAAACAATATTAGTAATATTAGTATTATTAAAAAATAAACATGCAGTGGGATAATAGGAAGGCAGTGACAAACCTATACCTTTATTATTGTTGTGAATTGATAACTATTGAACCAGATGATGGTCAAAAATCAGGAATGTGATGTGAAACGTCGCTTAGATGTAGAATTGAAAATAGGGACGGCAGATAAAAGCTTCTTGCTTCGGCTTTCTACTTTTGAGCTTTGTTCTTGCCATTATATGTAACTGTAAAGATACATATGACTCATTCTAGGCAAAGATGTGGGTGAAGTGTCTTGCCTAAGGACACAATGTCAGATTGTCACTTTACAGATGCAGCTGCCCCATTGTGGCACCTTGTGTTCCCAGAGGTCTCCCATCGCAGCACTAAGCTGGCCTTGTCCTGCTTAGCTTCAGAGGCCTGAAGGGATCTGGCTTTCACGTGGAGCCGGCGCAATAATACTGGATTATGAGCCGTGCATCGCGAGGGACCCAAAGACTCCCAGTCCGATGCAGAACTTTGTACGGTAGAAGTGCCTCCCCCGAAGATACATAACCTCAGGAGTGTGAAACCCCTCCTTAAGGTCTGTGTGGCTGCAGGTTTTCATTCCAACCAAGCAAGAGCACACCAGACTCCACCCATTTCCTCAATTCTTCTGGTTAGGACTGGACTCACTTGAGGAAAATGGGTGGAAGCTGGTGTGCTCCTGCTTGGTTGGCATGAAATCCTGCAGCCACACAGACCCTCTGATGACCGGTTTGACAGAGCGACTATAGAGCGGGATGAGCTTGAGGAGAAAACGGTTCCTGAACACAAAAACAAAACCAAAATACTCTTCTGACCCTTGTGAAAACTGTCAGCACAGACGATCGTTCATGACCGGAGCTTTCTCTTTGGATTAGGACCGCAAACAAACCAGGCCTGGGAAGACCCTGAAATGTAGTGTTAAAAATCAAATAGAATTAATCAGAAAATACAAAAGCAGTGATAGTAATCTTCCGCACGGCTATCCAAGTCCAGATGTCAGTTCCTCTTAAACAAACAAACACCGGCTATAGATCTGTGGAATCCAAATGACTGCTGATGTGATAATAAAGTGCTAACAAAATAGTCCTCTCTTTCCGACCGTAATTCCAGAGATAAACGGCGCTCCTCTGCTTCCCGGCGCAAAAATATTATGTCGCCCGTGGCAACAGTTCAATGTTCTAAGCAGTTGCATGTGCTGGTGGGATGTTTCCGGGCTCAGGTTTCAGAACGTCTGTACGCCATCAAAGGCCCAGTTCAGAGAGGGATTAATGCAGGACAAGGACCGGCCGCAGCAGCAACACAAAGGCCTCTTCAGACTCTCCATCCTCACATACAGTCAGGAAGTCGATATCCAATGTGTTAAAATGCTGTTTTGAGACATTCAATATCATAACTTTTTCCACACACACACAGACACACATGTACACGCACACACACAGAATGTTGAGTATCTGAAAGTAGACAATAGATATAACATGGCGTAATGTAGTTGAATAGCTTCAAACATACAGTAATTTGGAGGCAATACTTTCATCTCAAATGACTACAGCTCTGTCCATGTCATTAAAATGTAAAATAGTAACATTTATTCAGCGCTTTTCCAGCTGTCAAGTCCTCAAAGAGTTTCACATTAAAACGGGGGAACATAACATAACATTTAAACCACAACAAATGGGATTGTAATAAAATCCATCTAACGTAATGTTTATCATTTTGTGACTCAAAAATCAAACTCAGGATATTTACATAAAGTCAATTGCTGAATCTTAGAGGTTCTGAGCTGAGGTGTACCACGCTTACATTGGTAGCGCTGAAGAGGGCCGAGATTGGCCTTAGTGTAGGCATGTCTGGTGTATACAGCAGTGGAAATATGATGAATGTATCTATTGCTGTTGAATGATTGAAAAATTAAACATGCATATTTTTTGGCCTCTGTCACATCAGCCTTTTCCCAGTGTAAAAGTGAAAGAGAGGACTTGCCTCACTCAGCCAATCAGCTCCCAGTCCAAAGCAACATCTTTATTTAGTTTAGTTTGGTAGGCTTTAACACCTTTCACACACACATGCATACACCTGTGTGCACCGCATGAAGGGTTAAGTTTCTTGCCAAAGGACACATAAAAAGTAAGTAAGTAATCTTTATTTATATACCGCCTTTCAGAGACACAAAGCGATTTACAATTGTTATTTTGGGGCATTTGTGCTCTCACTCCACACAGAGATGGGAGCGAGGCCAGTACAGGAGGCGCATGCCAGACCTACTGTACATGTTTTTAATGGTAGGGGAAACCGGAGTACCCAGAGGAAACCTACGCAGACACAGGGAGAACATGCAAACTCCACTCAGAAAGGCCCTGTTCCGACCGGGATTCGAACCCAGGACCTTATTGCTGAGAGAAGCGAGAGCGCTATCCACTCATGGCAGCATTCAGTACTGGGTGCTGGTTTCACATGTGCAGGTCTCTGGATCTTGGTTTGAACTGCCCACTTGGAGCTCTGTGGACACGCTCCAACTCATCTACTGCTGTTCATAACTCCATCTACATTATACAGTAGACACAGCTGTTAAACTTCATATAATCTATTGTTGTGAAACGGCCCTCTGTTTATCTGCAGATCAGCACCATCTATCAATAAACGTATTTGTGTAAAGCCCTAAATCACAACAGCACTTATCTCGAATGACTTTACAAAGTTGTTTATTCACACAGAAAATGCAATAATAACAAACCCATTGGTTGATAGGGAGCGGGATGAGCTCTGTCCACAATAAATGTTCTTGGACATGAATACTGAACCACAAGACTGGCCCTTATGTTTCAGGTCATAGATTTTCGTTGGATAACTTCCCTTCTATGAGTTTATCTTCTGTTGGAATTGAAACAGTCTTGTCTGAGGGTTTAGAATGAGTGGGAGGGGTTGGAGCCAAATAAGCGTCTTCTGTCATCCCCTTTTTAATCTGTGTAAACAGTTTTTGTATCCTGCATCCTATTTTGTGTGTGCATGGTTTTGAAATAAATAAACAAAAATAAATAGAAATAGAAAATAAAAAGATACCTGTCTGTCGACCGACCAAGATGTCCAGCTCTGGTGTATATGCTGTTTCTTTGAGAGTTATTCACAACACACAACGTCGCTGATGGCAACGGTTCAATATTATTATTAGTGGCTTGTGGTGTGCGATCAAAAGGCACTCTGACAAATGGAGGGTCTTCATGAAGCGCACCCATCAAAGCCCGCGGGACAAGGGCTCATCCCATAATAGCAGCAGCAGCAGCGGCGGTTACCGTGGAGACGACCGGTGAAGTGCTCTGACCACAGAGAAGGTGTGGTCATCACTGGGTAGAAATGAATGTGCCTGAGCTTCAAATAAATGTAAGTTTAGCCGTGGCAGTGATAGCAGTGTGTGGACGGCCCTGTGGTGAAATGTGTGACACGGGTTTGTAAAAAAATAAATATATGTAATAATTTGGATATAATACAAGGGCTGAAGGCATCGTGGTCCACATCACAGTTCTGATCAGGCCCTTACCGGCTTAGCTTTGACCTGCTGCTATGGCCATTGCATATAATACTACTACTTCTACTAATACAAGGCTTAGATTTTTGTAATGCCAAAAATCACCACAGCAGTTGTCTCAAAGGACTTCACATATCGGTAAATGTATTCTTTACTTGATACCGCAAGTATCTAGAAATGGCGCCTAAGAAGTAAAATGTATTATTATTAATTGTCCTGAAGGTTGGTTCCAGGTATATATGATGATTCTAAGGTGACAAAGAATACAATTTTAAGAACACAATGAAAATCAAAAAGACGGTAAATAAAAGGGTGCAGGGTTAGGACTTCTGAGTGTCTATTCTGTACATTTCCAGCAATTCAACTTAATATAGCCGAGATAAATCAGCCTTCTCCTCTCACATCACTTCAGAAGCATGACTCATGTCCCTTCGCCTTCTCTCGTCTTTGTTGTGACAGCAGCGGTGACAAGTTCAACCCAAACAGCCCCTAAAAATCATCTCATGTTTGACTTTTCTATCTTTGCCCCATTGAGAGGCAGTCTGGGCCGGTGGCTTTGAAGTGGCACATTTGAGTTTACATTGTGCACACCAGTTAATTTATAGGAGCTGGTGACCCGGGCCTGGCTCAGTGCGGCCGCCATTTTGGAAGACAATGGCAGGAAGGGCCGAGGAACTGATCCAGCGCTTTGGACTGAGCTTTTCTGCGGCCGCTATTTTCAAATGACCTCTCGGAGCCGTTTATTTATAGGTAAGTTGTGCGCATTGATGAGGCGTGATTTTTGGAAAGGATGTAATAAAAAAACAGAATAAACTACTCTTACATGTTTTTGTGAAGAATAGCAAAGGCGTGTGGACGGTAGGGCTGCACGGTTAAGCAAAAATGATTCTGGTATCAAAAAAAACTAAAAGATTAGCAAAGATATGAAGCAAATTCTGTAAAATGTCTCTTCATTGGAGTTCATTTCAAAGATTTGGAACAAGGATGTGGTCTTAATGTTGCACAGGATTAGTTTATCTTTCCAATGGAGATTTCATTTTTTTATCCTTTATTGAAACTGTTGCCCAGCTCAAATTAACTCAGTATTTAGTGTTTTAAGATTGAATCTCAACAGAACAAATCTAAAAGTTTTAGTTAGCAGCTGTTGTAGTCTTTTATGAACATTGGCCATCCGCCCCTTATGGACCAAAGGCTCTGTGTTGGTGAATCAACAGGTTTGTAAAGTGCTCCAAGATGACTAATAATTTAAGGCAATACAAAAATAAATTGAATTTAATTGTTTTGGACATTTTGTTCATAAATTACCCTGCCTCACTCTTGTCTAACTAACTACTTATGATGTAGATATTTATTTGGTTATTTGTGTAATAAAAAAATTAAAAAATGTGTTCCTGCATGTGAAACCCAGATCAGACTTCTGAAACTAAGCAGAACGAGGCCTGGTTAGTGCTGTGATGGGACACATCATCTACATTACTTAGAATGAGTCTGGTGTGTGAATGGTTGGTGGTTGTCAGAAGGGCCAATTCCACACACTGGTTCTTCTGTCAGTCTGCCCCTGGGTAACTGTGGCTACAGAGGTAGTTTATCAACAGTGTATGAGTTAAAAGAATAATGCCACAAAAAGCGAGACTCCAAAAAAGCCTTATATAAATATGATGCACTGATTATTATCACATACCATGGTTACAAACAATATCAGGATACTTTTGTTTACCCCCAGTCCAGCCCTGGCGGGAGGTGTATGTGTGTTTGTCATGTTTGCAGTGACTCTTATTTCAACTATACTAAAGAGTGGGAATTCTGTAGAGGTAATCGCTTCCCAGAATGTATTTTCATTTTCAGACTTGTATCGTTGTTTTATCTAGTGCTTACAATTGCATGTTTGTCACTCACATCTCTTGGCCCTGGTCCTCTCCTGGTTCCTGGTGCGAGTCTCGGGCAGGAAAGCCAACACCAACGTGTGTTATACTTTGTGTTTGAACTGTTTGATTCTCTGATCTGTGTTGGTGAGTTCAACGATTGTGTAAAGAATTTAGGGCTATACAAGAATAAATTGAATTGATTAAATTGGTCTTCACACAAAATAATCAGATTGTGGAAAAGTAAGATCACAGTCTATAATTGGACATGGAAAGTGACAAGAGGTCGGAGGATGGAGCACAACTTCCAGCGGTTCTTATCGGAGTGCAGCGGAGGTGGGAGGGCCCCTGTGATAACCCAGGGGCCACGGTCTGCAGGAGTTTGGAAGGCTTTATATTTCATGACTCATCTAAACTCATGAGCAACAATAACTATGCCACACCCTAATATATCGGACTACTATGAATTACTTATATCAATTTCTGGAGTCAAATTAGGATGATACTTGAGCCTGGGCTTGAAACACTGTTCAAATGTGTTTAGGTTGAAGAGGAAACGTCAAGATGGAGGTGGATTTGATGAAAATGATTGAAAAAGGCTTATTATGAATTCTTATTTATTTGTTCTTTAGTCTTGCAACAATGTAAGAACAATAAAAACAAAGTGTAGGTAACCCAGAATGTATTTTTCTTTTCAGACTTGTATTGTTGTTTTAACTTGGCTATAGACTTTAGACTTCCAGAGTGATAGTTGACCATAATAACAAACGAGTGCTTACAATTGCACGTTTGAAATAGAATTTGAAAAAGAGAAAACCCGCCACTTAGTCCAATTTAAATGAATTGTTCAATACTCATGTAAACCCAGACACGTACGTTGAGGTGTCGCAGTCTGATTTAAACAAATGATGTGAGCAAAAGTTGGGATTGTTTGGAAACCGTAGATGTATCACTAATCTGCTCATATGACATATGTACGCATTTGGCTACTTCAGCCATTTTGATCATTACAATGGTATACAGTCACTCCACTGCCTCAGTCTTACATATATTATCATGTCCCAATGTTTACACCTTTATTTAAACAAGAAAACACACAGAAAATACTGTACAATAAAATAAAATATAAAGTGTGTTGATTTGCTATGACAATGCACTTAGATATAATTGCCACAAGTAAAACACAGCTCACATTGGATTTCTTTGCACTTTTAAACGGCGACTGGACAAATCCGCTCACATATTAGTCACTCACACCTGAATTCATGGAAACGTGTGCAGCAAAAACACACAAAAACATGATTATGAGGCACACACAATGGACCACATTTGGGATCTTGGTTCCTTCTCACGGCCGTTTGTCAAGAGGAGTGGAAGTTATTGTGCACAGAGCTTTGATCTCTGTCATGTTTGAGATGGTTCTTTTTATCACATTCAAATAGCGACGCATTACTTTGCAGTTCTCAGATTACGGTAAACAAATATCTTTAATTCATCACAGTTGAGATTACTTGTTCTTTGTTCAAATGGTTGAACAATCTGACCAACCATTTGAACCTGGAGTCCAGAGGTTGACAAAAAATGTCACATGGTTATGATGCAAACAAACAAAGACTTACAAATATATTCTGGTGATTACATTACCCCATGGTGGAGGTAATGGAGCTGCAAAGTGGGCAAATGGCTCAGGTTCCAGAAGTTAAATTCCCATTCAAAATTCCCACTTTGTTTCCAAAGCCAACAGAGGCCAACTAGTTACCTTCCATCTACTACCCACAATGTGGTGGTTTCCAGCCCCTTTATGTATTAATAGTTCTTATGAGAATCAGCTGATCAGCCCCATGTTTTCAATAATTTATGTTTTTCACTATGGAAAAAATTACATGCATATTTTATTAATGTAAGCACCACTTCGCAGCTCCATAAGATTTTTCAGAAGTATTACTCCATTGCTACAGTAAATAGTATTCAAAACATGCCTAAGCATTGTGGAATACATGATTCAAAAGGAACATTTTACTTAATTGGTCCGTTTTAAGTTTTGGCCTGTCAAGTAAACCAACCTAAAATTATGTGCAATAATCTTCTGAATAGGAAACAAAAGGGAATACCTGAAGATTACCCTGACCCAGAGTATGACCTCCGTCCCTTTGAATCGTAACCACAGAACGGTTGAAGGGAGTTCACTTTTACATTTGCTGATGTGAGCGTTCAGTCTTCCTCCCGGGCCACAGTCCGGTGCGTGGGATCAGATGGAGAGCCTGGTTCACTGGGAGGTCACTCACATCTCTTGGCCCTGGTCCTCTCCTGGTTCCTGGTGCGAGTCTCGGGCAGGAAAGCCAAATTACTTCCGGATTTGTGTGTCCAGCCCAGCTTAAGTGTTCCTCTGTCCTTCCTCCCATTCACACTGCAGAAAAAGGTCCTTCTAGGTGATTTCAAACGACCTATAATCAGGATTTCCATAAATGTATATTGCTTACTTGCTAACTATGCACTATGCATGTAATGAGACTATTATATATTGGTTTAATATTATAAGTGGAATTACAGAAAACTTTTGAACAAGTCTAATTTTTGAGTTTTATCTTTATAAGTAATGCTGAACACAACAAGACCTTTCTTTAAAATGACTATATCAACCATTTGTTCAGGAACAGTAGAATTAAACAATATACTTTTTATCAGGACTGGTTTCTTTCATCTAGTCAGAAAATTGTCCAACCGGTGAAATATTGTAACACACAAAAGCAAAAGGGTTGCAATGTTGTATTTTAAGCTGAATCCAAGTTGGGAGCGTGTGGCGTTTCAGTTCTGTTGAAGCTTCTCCTGAGGCTGCTCCCTGCTCCTCCTGAGGCTGCCTCCTGCTCCTCCTGAGGCTGCCTCCTGCTCCTCCTGAGGCTGGGTGTGTGTGTGTGGCCTGCCTTCTACAGAGTGACGATGTCTGAGGGGAAGCA